TATCTATCAGCATTGAGAAAATGTAAATTGTTTGTTCATAAACGATGAGGTGTAACGGTATGCTACTTCAAGATAATATTATTATTATTGTGTTGTCATTTAGTTCTGTCTGCACACAGTAATCATGACTGTATGGCAGCAATATGGTAAGCTGATCAACTTGAAAGCTCTTCTTGTTATGTAATTTATCTATTGGCATATTGTCCAATAAAATGTGGGACAATGAGAAAACATGCCTTACTTTGAAAGGCAGTTATTCTCATTGTCCCTTAGTACATAAGTTTTGAAGATATCAGCTTAAAGACTGTATGCATGTAACTTCTTGAAAAGAATGATATGAATGTTCTTTTCACAGCCAGACTCTGAACAGAATTTTGCGCAATTGTTGTAATTGAGCACACAGTACAAAACAGTGTTGCTCGTTTTAACAATTTGTCAAATACTGCTACCAGCAACTACTTGAAGATGTTTTTGTTTTTGGAAACTGCATCATAGGCTTGCCACAACATTATCAATGTGAAAGGTCAGTGTTCATAGTACTCATAGTTATCTGTAATTTTGGACATATGCTACAGACAAGTGGGTTGAATACTTCAAAGCTATTCCCCTGCTTTTATGTTTCTTTTTCCATTCCAATTGTTTGACAGGTTGAGAAAATGACAGGCATTACTTACATCTTATAATGACCTTTAATATCTTCAGTTATTAGTTGTTTTGCATATCTATAACTATATCATTCATGATTTTTCTTCAATGCTTTGTTCTTGACAAAAATCATTTAAAAAAACATTTATTACATATTTTCCTGTTCCTTTTTTTTCAATTTTAAAACTAAAATTCTCTGCATTGAAACTGAAACTTTTCTATGTGAGAGCTTACACCACAGTCATTCTTCTATGTATTTATCCTAGTATACATATTCATGAAAATTCTCACTTTATGCCCTATGGTTCAACTTTAAACTTTCAATATATTTTGTATATCTCTTTACATTCATTACAAAAGTTAAAACATAAACTTGCCATATACAATGTTATCCAAATTTTACAGATTTACAAATTATTTCACAAAATATTATTAAATCTTCTTTTGTGTTCATTGCCATAGGGGAATTCAAATAATTCAAGTAAAATAATTTATTTTCTTCTGCTACAACATTAACAATATGAGCTAATCACCTTGCTTAAATTTACACTGAGGTTCTCACACCCTTCATAGAGCCAGTTCCTCCTTGGAATTCAAGTATCAACAATCTTCTGAGCAGTAAGAGATCTGAACAGACAACTAGTCAGTAGTAATTAGGGAATCATCTTGTGACATGTTTATGGCTAGTGTGTCAAGTCAGTGCTAGCAGCAGCTCGCCTGTATTCAGTTGTTTGAGCCCTCAACAGACCAATTAATCCCAAAACTATGAGTTTCAACTTGCTCCAGTTTGGCTTCTGGAAATAAGTCTAGAAATAGACAAATACACACTTCCAAGGAAGGTGGTAATACATCAATCTATACAGATGTTCACAGGTCATAAGCAACCAATGGCATTTTATGCATAATATCATCAGATTGTTAATATTCATATTTTCTTTAAATGATTTGTTTGTATTTATACATTTAAATATTGCATCTGTACCATAATGTTTTCTGTATATATTACATAGTATTAATTGTTTGCAGCAAATATAAGAAATACAACATAGATATGACTATATGTAATGATATCATTAAAAGGACAATGAAACATGACTCTTTCTTATGGTTTATCTCCATAACATTCATAATTCATAACTAAGGAAAGCCTTTTGTTTGTAAGGGTAAGTAAAATTTGAATGGTGGGCATGTGTTTGGTGTCATAGGGTTTCTTTGCTACATACACATCATGTACTTTGTAAAGTTGGGGGTATTAACATATGTAACAATATATTCATCTCAAGAGCTTGTTCAATGTCCAGCCCTTTCCCATACGCTCAAGCCCATCATGGTATAGAAATAAACAAAACACTCTTACATGTATATTTATTTCAAGATTGCATTAAAAAAAATATAACCGTATATTGATGTTGAGGAATGAAATGTATGTATACAATTTTAGTGGCAAATCCTATATATACATGACATGCCTTAACCAAACTGAGGACCATATGGGAACTAAAACTGTATTTGCTGTAAATACTTGCAAGGTTACTGTCAAAAATTAAAATGCATTCTCAATCACTCAATCAGTTGCCTAAAATGCCACCACATTCTTCATTGAGCTGCTAGTACCCATACCTCCCTCAGTGCCAGATGCCAAGACACCCCTCCCTTCGGTATCCATCCCCAGTGTCAGTGTCATTTGTCTATCCGGTAACTAGCTGATGGTTGTTGGAATTAATTGATAGTGAGAAAAATTCTGACCTCTGGGTATATAACCAACCATTTTACAATAACTTCATCAGATAGTGTGATGTTTCCTTCAAGAACAGCAAATGTCTCAGTACAGTCACTGATATAGAAACAACACTCTGGAAAATTTCAAAGTAGAAGCGATGGTCACCCTCAACTGAATGCCCACATGAACAGGTAAGTTAAGCTTTCATAAATCTATCAAATCTATTACCAGTGAGTGAACTGTATCATTAGCCATTCAATGTTAGAAATACTGTATTTTACCAACTCTTTCACATTTCAAATTAGATTTGCGTTTATATTGTTCCACTATGCTATACATTTGTTGGGAAGGAATGGTGACCAGGCTTAAATTATTTCAAGAATTTAAGAATGAGTCAATAGTAATTAATGGGGATTTCAATTAGTCTTTGACCCCTAAACTGATTTAGGAAATTAGAAAGCGGTAAAAACAATCCAGAAGCTAAAAATAAAGTAATAGAAACAATTAAACTATTAAAATAGAGACATTAAACAATAAACCAGGTTGAAATACTGAAGAAAAAACAATTCTAATCTATCAAGGAATTAATTATATCATCCCAAACCTAAGATAATTGAAATGGAAAAAGACTTTTCAGAAATAATGTTAGATACTGATGATATGTTAATCAATTTCTTTTTCCCTTTTTCTTAAAGAAATATAAAAAAAATATTGGAAACAATAATTACAGAACTTTAAAACTGAAGAACAGAAAACTTCAAAAGTGTCAATGAAAGTATGTTATCAAGTTTTTCAAAATATGGACTTGATCTCGAAAAACTACATGAATGAGATACATGGAATACAGGTATTACATAAAATCCAACGGTAAAATGAAAACCCCCCACATTCAATTACTTCTGACTATCTTGAAAATGAAAATTACACAAATAACTTAATCAGTTGTCTTGTAACATAGAATTGGGAAATAACTAAAGAAAAATTGGTATTAAATGAATGAAAGGAATGTTCATGAAATATTATATTTCACCCCTATTATCAATAATGTGGATAATATAGATAATATAGAAATGAAGAACAGCTTACACTATTGAAATGCCAAACCTAACAATTGATGTGGCAGAATGAATAGAATAGCAAAATAAAAGTTGCTAGAGCTGATTACTCAAAGAAAAAAATGAACAGACCTTGTGTTAAAGTTTTATTGATATACCGTAGGTTAATTTGTTGATGGTATACATTTATTTCTGTTTGTCTCAGAAGGAAGTTTAAAATCAAGTATTGAAACTATTACAAGTATTTTACTCTTTACATAATACTATAAGAAACTTAAGAAAACTAAAATATACTAAAGATGATTCCAAAATACAATTTCAGGCTAGTAGGCTCAAACCATTGTGCCAGTGTAGTAACCCGACTGGTATTCCCTTTACCTCCTTACTTTATTTTAAGTGATTGGAATAAGAATCGGATTCACTCGAGTAATGATAATAAATAATTATGTTACTCCTAATGTTATTATACCTAATAGGAGTTAAGAGTGGTATTCATTCAGTTAATAATGATAAATACACATTACATTAGTCATAATGTTATGATACATAATTTGAAAAAGGCATTTGTATTTTTTATGGTTTAATCTATTTGATGTTCTGGAAAAAGGTATGGTATGAAGGGAATAACATTAATATTGAACAGTATACCTACATTGGCTGGGTAGTTTTCATTGTACAAATTGAGAACATAATGTGATACATGGGATAGATATAATATTTTTTTTGCTCTATTATTTGCTCATGACACTGTTTCCCATATGTGTAAAAGCGTAATATTGAAAACAGCTACATTTCCACATGACGTGACAATGTTTAGTAAGAGCATATCATCAATCTAATGTTAGTGAAACTATCATTCTGGATTTTTACAAAAGATGACACTGTAGTGAGTTCTATGTTAAAAGTATGAGCATCAATGAAATACATTATATAATCCTCCGAAATATGTCAGAAGAGTATCATTCTTTTTTCCCCCATCAGAACACCATGCCTCCACCATGCCTGTCACCACAGCTCAACGATGCAGTGGAAGCCATACTTTCTGCTAGTACCACCATTCCCGTGAAGGAGAGATCCTTAATTCAAAAATTAGCATATAAGAAAATTAGCAAATATAATCTCAGTCTTACAGATATCCACAACCCAGTTTCAGGTCAAAAAGAAAACAGAATTCTTTCCTTGGGTAAAATTGTCCCCAAAACTGATGAAGTAGAAAATATTATACAGGCTTTCAGTAAAATGACTAAAGGGGCTGGAGCACGACGTCTTTATTCCATAATAGCTCAGCATTTCCATGGAGTAAGCAGGCCCCAAATAGAAAGTTACATCCAGAGTAGCATCAGTTTGAGTGAGTGAGTGAGTGAGTTGGGTTTAACGCCGCTTTTAACAATATTCCAGTTATATCACGGCGTGTCAGCTTAATGTGGGAGGAAAGACCGAAGTGATGCAGGTCTCAGACGTTTACCACTTCGGTGAAACCCACGAGCACGGGTATGGTGCTGACAAACCTAGAAACATAATTGGGGCGAACCGGGATTCGAACCCACAATCATAGGTTTCTGGCGTGCCCAAGGGACGCAACTCTGCACAGCGAATCGCGGCGCCTTAGACGACTGGGCCACCCGTGCCCCCAGCATCAGTTTGACAAAGTTGCATCCAACCTTTTCAAACAAGGCACCTTTAAAACCTGTGAGGGCATCTGTACCTTTTGAAAGACACCAAATTGACTTGGTAGATTTCAGCAGCAAATCGGAAACGAAAGATGGGATCATCTACCGTTTTGTGTTGTAGATATTGGACGTGTTTTCTAGGTTTTTATGGCTTAGGCCACTTTGTGACAAAACATCAAAGAGTGTTGTTAAATCATTAGTGCAGGTATATTTAGATCAGCAGTGGGGTGCTCCCAAAATTATCCAAACAGATCAGGGTGGGGAGTTTAAGGGGATGGTGAATTCACTCTGTGAAAAACTTGGCGTCAGACTGATCCATTCACAAGCCTACCACCCTCAGTCTCAAGGAAAGGTTAGTAATGTAGTATTATATATGATTTCAACAATACCTGGTATCTATTTCTAACAAAACTGCATGTTGCATATGGGTCCTTAAGGTTATCGTAAAATGCATTAAAATAAATGTCAAGGGGCACAGTAGTGTTACAGCTGTAAATAAGAGCAACAAAACACCTTCTATATTCATAAGAAATCTCTGCTAAAAGCAGACTTTCATGAACATGTTTATGAATCACTATCAAATAGTGATGGTACCAGGTGTGTGTGAAATGGTGAGTGTATCCTTCCCCACCTGTGGCACCCATCACAAACACATGTGTAGGCAAGTCAATTGTTCACCTGAAAAAACATGGGAACATATGGTACAAGTCAAAAAAGGGAATTGCATGGGACATCATTTCTATCACTGATGCATATAAAAGGAATCATTGAATGTAAATAAAAAATTAAAAAATTATTGTAATTTTGATAATTTCAGGACGAGCGTTCACATAGAGTTTGGAAGGATATTGCCTGCGGTATGACCTTCAACACCTGGATGAAATCTCCTGGGTAGACAATCTTCCTGACTATTGCCGCATTCACAATGAATCAGTCAACTCAGCAATTGGTAAGATGTTTAAAAGAGCAAAATATTGGCCATATTTCACAACAAATTCTTTATGGGAGATTTTTCCCAAAACAAAATACCCCTGATTACTCTTGGTTTGCATAGTAACACTATTTCCTCTACCTCCCGTCTTGCCTCACGCCCTGTCAAACATTTTGTAATAATTCCCTGCCAGTACAATTTGTTTTTCCTCTGCAGCTTGTTTGAATTTATTCTGAGGTACTGCACATTCTATCCTCAGGTTGTAGCCCTTACAGAGCCATGTTTGGATTCCACCCGCATCATATCAGCAGGCTCTTGAAAGCAGGAGAGGAAGTAGGGATGCGTACATATGTGAAGACAGTGAGGACTATGAAACTGTAGAAGAACATTCTCAGGTGATTTGTTATGAATAGAATTAAATATGAATTAATATCTTTTCATGGTCGAATGCAATGGCAATGGATGGTATTGTTTACATTTTACATCAACTAGCCTTTCATTGATTGTTAAAAAAATAGCTTTTGATCTAATTTGAAGCCATCGTTACAATAAAAGCAGCAAAACACTTTCCATATTCGTAAGAAATCTATTTAGCTATCAGCAGCAGCAAGACTATGGACCTTTATAACAGAGTTATATGAGTTAGATGAGTAACATGAACAGCATTTGACACATGGACATTCAGATTTGTTTTCTCTTTGTGTTTATATCAACTAACTCTGGAGAGAGATTACTTAATTTCTCATAGCCAATAACAGTGTGTAATAGCTATTGTCAACATATACATGCATTCACCAAGAATTACACAACAAGATATTTCATAATATATGTCCACAGTTTGGTCATGAAAATCAGATATACAAATTTAGAACATGGATATATTTTATACATATTCTCATATTTATTTTATTTTTAGGCAAGTGGAGGAACACTTGCCAGACTCCAAGAACTGCAAGAAATCAGGAAGGAAGTGCTGGCAACCTCTGATAAATCTGCCACACGAATGATAAAGAAACACCTGAAGGCAAATCCTCCTTCTCATTATGAAGTGGGGGAGATCGTTCTTGTTCGGCATTTAGGCAAAGACAAGGGTGTTTGTAGGGGTGGGCAGAAAATCACTTCTTCAAAAGCTGTTGAGGGCGAGATTGTGGAAGTGAATGAGAAGTTGCACAAGTACAAGGTGCGGATAGGAAAGAAACTGTCATGGCGCTCTGTCTCTCAAATTACATCTATAACAAGGCAACAGGAGGAACAGAAGAGAAGGCACAGTAGACATGCAGGTACAGTCTGTTGAAGTAATTAGTTCGAGGAATGATGAAGTATATTTATCTTGTCAAGTGACAAGCCTAATGGGGACCTTTCTTTACAAACATTCTCCATAGCTGGACTGCAGAAAGTACCCTGGTAGTACAGTAATAAAATATTCAATCAGGAGGGTCACTTCAATAAGGATGTCAATGCTCAAGACATTAATTTTTCTCTAATTTCTGCATGTAACAAACTTTATGTTTGCTCTTACTTGCACATAGATACTCAGTATTTAAAAGTATGTTAAGCGACTTAAAGCAGCTTTAGAATACATTTTAACCAAATAGGATTCATGGTTAGTCCCTTGTAAGAGACAGGTCAAGTTTGCTATCCAATTGTTCAAAATAACTAGACAGGAACTAGTGTGAGGTTGGTTTCTGGACAATGGTCAACTATCATGTGATAATCACGGAAAACATTTCTGATGTCCTGAATCAAATTTATTATAAATATTGATAATATACTCAGTCTTAAAAAAAAGAAACATCAGGATTGCAACTGGGTTTATTGTTCGAGTTTCAATATTATCAATATTGGAATGTGTAGGTAAATTATTGCGGTACAATATGCACTTAACAAAAACAGGTGCAAAAACGACCAGGGTTGGTGGAAAGACAGTAACGATTGTGGCGTCCTCAAGTTGCTATCACCTCAGTGCAGCGACTGCCCATAGCCGAGATCAAAGTCTGAATAACAGCCCGGGGGATGTTCTGCCTCTCCTGCTCTAGTGTATGAAGTGTATGTGGCAGTGGTTGACGTTGACTGATACGACGATCCAGCACGTCCCACAGATGTTCAATAGGGGACAAGGTGGCACGGTAGGCCCAGTCATCTAAGGCGCCGCGATTTGCTGTGCTGAGTTGCGCCCCCTGGACACGCCAGAAACCTATGATTGTGGGTTCGAATTCCGGTTCACCCCGATTATGTTTCTAGGTTTGTCAGCACCATACCCGTGCTCGTGGGTTTCACCGAACTGGTAAACGTCTGAGACCTGCATCTCTTTGGGCTTTCCTCCCACATTAAGCTGACACGCTGTGATATAATTGGAATAATGTTAAAAGCAGCGTTAAACCCAACTCACTCACTCACTCAATAGGGGACAAGCATGGCAAGTGGGCAGGCCAGGGTAGCGTAGGCACGTTGTTCTGATGCAGAAACTCTGTGCAAACACAAGCGACATGGGGTCTGGCGTTGTCCTGCTGAAAGATGCCTCCAACGGGGACAACGTGGCTCTGCAGGATCTTATCTCCGTAGCATTGACCATTTAGAGCATCATCCACTCTAACAGGTGCTGTCCGGCCTCCGTGATGAATGCCTCCCCGTACCATGACACTTCTGACTCCAAAATGATCCACTTGCTGAATGCAAATTTCAGTGTAACGTTTGTTACGACATGTGCACGTCCATCAGCACCCTTCAGCAGAAAACAGGACTCGTCTGCGAACAGAACACGTCTCCACCTTGCTTGAGGCCATGTGACTTTCCGACAAAAGACGTACACGGAGGTGATGCGGAGTCAGCTAGGATGTTACGCCGGACAGGTCTCCTGGCTAGAATACCGGCTGCTCACAGATGATTTGGAACAGTCTAATCCGATATTCGACACAGTCCTGGTACTTGTGAGGCTGTTGACGTCGCCGTGATGAAACGGTTCCGCAGGTGCCATACCTGGATGTAGCGATCTTGGCCAGGTGTTGTAACACAAGGTCATCTTGACCTTGGCCTGTCATGAACGTTGCCAGTGGTGTTGTAACATCTCCACAAGTTAGAGATGGTTAATCTGGTCACACCCAAAACTTGCGCCAAATGCTGTTGTGTTTCACCCGCTTGCAGTCGGACAATGTCATTGTTGTGTTGTGCTTCTGAAAGACGTGGCATTTTAACGGCTCGTTTTCTCATTTTCTGATGTATGTGTCAGCAGCCATTGTCCAGGCCTTTTAAACCTTGCTGTCAGAAGAATTGTCATGACAGTTCAGGAAATTGCATACTGCACGTTAATGGCATTGCAGCTGCATTTGGGCGAATTGCTGCGTCATGACGTCCCAACATTACGTTTTGCTCAATCGGCATGTTTACTCGAACATTTAAATTGAAATTTAATGATTACTTAAGAAATAAAATAAAAATTTGACCATACATAAACAATCAGGTCCTGTGTCATCAAATTATACATGTATGGTTTCTTTTTTTTGAAGAGAATATGAACCATGATGACCAAAAATGTTTTTTAACTATATAGGAATATGTGACGTTTGAATAGGAAACATACGAGTACAACAATCTTCGTTTGAGTTTCCATATACATGTCATCATTTAAAGAAAGAAATATGTCTAAGAAGTTAATTAACATTATTTAATGCATGTATGAACACAGATCAAGGCTGCCAAATCAGACATTTGACAACTACACCTTGTAAGCAATAGTGAAGGCAAATCTGAAGAATTTCTGGTTGTTTCCATATTCTCTGACGTAATCATCAGTTCTGAAATTTTACAAATATTTTCAGATGACTACATGAATGTCATGGCAAGACTTCAAAAAGAAATGATGATGCCAACAGTATTATCTTCTGACAGTCTTCTTCAGAAGCTAGAAGACATGGCAGGGAGAAGAGGCTGTATCGTTAAACACAACTCAGGTGGCGGTAACTGCATGTTTCTCTCCCTGAGTGACCAGATTTACCATGTGTTAAACATAGAAATGAATGCTCTGGAAGTGAGGGAAAACATTGTGGAGCATCTGAAGGCACACCCAAATACAGTAAGTCAACATAGGAAACAAACAAATATGATTACTTTAAAATAAAGTCAGTATAAAGTCATTTTGCATGACATTGGTTTTTGTTTTACCTTAAGAGTGGCTACTTGAGTTGGGTTTAACACTATTCAAGTCATTTTATGGCTTGGCGACACCAGACATGGGATGGGGTTTACCCATTGTACCAATGTGGACAATCAAAAATAGATTTTCAGCATGAAATGTGAATGCTTTATAACAACTATGCTGCCCTACCACCCAATTTCACCTTGAGTCAACCCTCTTGTACTACTTGCTTGAAAATAATTGATCATATATTCAGATAGATGGAACACCACTGGAAGATTTTGTCAGCACACAGCAGTCCTGGGAGGCCTATCTTTCAGCCATGGAGGCCCCGGGCACATGGGGAGATCATTTAGTTGTCTTGGGAGCTGTGGAGTTTCTCCAAGTTGACATTGAGGTCCTCACAAGTGCATCTGAAACTCACCCAATCCTACTCAAGACAGTAAAGAGACAAGAAACAACCAAAAAGCTGTTCCTGGGGCATATATCTGAGTTTCATTATGTCAGCCTGCACAAATTAGGTAAGCTAATATCAATAGATTAACCAAACTTTCAACACTTATTTTAAAATGATATGAATCATAACTCTTGGTAAATTTTATGAAACAAATGAAATTCAACCTTTATTCGAAGCTGACTGAGTGAATATTATCTTACATAACAGTCAGGATTGTTTCAGCCTTATGACAAAAAACAAGTGGTTGACAGCATGAGCTATGAATCGTATGATCAATAACACACACTTACCATCTGATCATGAAGTACTGAGGACTTCTTTTGATTCACAGTGTTTAGGCAAAACAATCAATCTAAATAAATGTTTACAACTAACACAAGGGTGGCTAGTTTAGGTACATGTTACTGTGTATGTGTAATTGATTACTAATTTTGTGTACTAAAATTATGTAAATATAAGATAACCTAAAAAGGCTCACTGTCCATGGTTTGGATATTATTAATACTTTGTCATACATTGTTCTCCCTCATATCATTACTTTAGTACAAAATTATCTGAGCAACAAATGGCTAAGGCTTTCCTGCCTGAGAAAAGTTTTGAAAACATAACATTAAACTTAGTCATCTTAGTTTTCAACTTGATATACCTAAATAGAGGGGGAATGAGTGCAGAGTTGCATCCCTTGGGATGCTAGAAACCTATGATTATTGGTTTGAATCCCGGTTTGTGGCGATTATGTTTCTAGGTCTGTCAGCACCATATCTTTGCTCATAGTAAACGTCGGGCTTTAAGCTGACAAGCCCTGATATAATAGGAATACTGTTCAAAATGGCTTTAAACCCAACTCACTCACTCACTTAAATAAAGATTATTATACGAATGTGTGTCATACTGATTTTTATGAAAACAAGTGCCAGACATACATGCGAGTGTAACAATTTCTTTAATACCCATGATTTCTTAATCCTTATGAGCTCCTTCAGAAAAATGGACAGATGAAGAACGACAACTTAGAAAACCACAATTGTCGAAGAAAGGCACAAATTTTCAGCTATGATGTCATTTCTACTGTGACATCTTTTTTACCTTATGTCACAGTAAGATTCGAGTGATGTCAACAATGCTGTCTGGATGACGTAAATAATATACTGGTACACATGAAGTGATATTTGCACTAGTGCATATACAATTTTTTTATTAAATTGGTTATTTCTAAATCTATGGGTAACAAATATATTTATTTTCACAGGACAACTTTGCAGTGATTGTCACTTAGAGATGCATATGTGCCAATGTGTGGATAACATTAATGGTAAGACTTGATTGAACATTTTTAGAACATTTATACTGTTGCAGTTATAGTATGTAGTGATACAAGTAGATAGCACAGTGACTGGTGTACCAATACTTAAATCCCTGAAAACGGACTGCTCCAAGGACCATCTCTGTCAGTACATATAACAAACAATTACCTACTATATATTCATTATTATCATTATTATTATTATTTTTATTATTATAGCATGTATTTCTTCTACAATCAGATATGTATGTTTGTTTGTTTGTTGTTTAACGCCGCACTCAGCAATATTCCAGCTATATGACGGCGGTCTGTATATAATTGAGTCTGGACCAGACAGTCCAGTGATTAATATCATGAGCATCAATCCACGCAATTGGGATCGATGACATGCATCAACCAAGTCAGCAAGCCTGACCACCCGATCCTGTTAGTCCCCTTTTACGACAAGCAGAGTCACCTTTTACGGCAAGCATGGGTTGCTGAAGACCTATTCTACCCCGGAATCTTCACTGGTCACAATCAGATATGCTTAAAGTTCATTCATGGTAACCATGGCATTTGGTTCATACATACAGTGGGGTTTTATTGTTTAAACTTGTGCCATATCACACAAGTCAGGAAATATACATTATGCATGCATGTACCAGCATGTATCATACCACCAACTGCAACATACTCATACTCATAGTCATCTTTACTTTCACTCACTCAGCAACCGACATAGGGTCATCCCCACATGGCTTCAACAGTGAAGAGGACATGGGTGAGGATACCTTACATGTGCATGATCCAGTTATTGAAACAAGGACATAATGATTGGCCATAAAGCAGAAGCCTATGATTAGGAGACATGATGACATTCCTAGAGGTGTCCACAGGTACAGAATGACAGATAAGAATATATCCTTTGTATCATCAACGTACTTATTTTCTGTGAACTGAGCTGACTAACCTTGTCCTCCCTGATATGAAAGATATTCTATATAAATAATGAAATTGATGTAATACCCCGGTATGTGTAATATATATGAATTTTGTATTCTGTTTCAGAAACTAGCAGTGATCCACTTCCAGACACTAGACAAGTTTCAAGGGCATTCTTTGAGAAAGAGGTAAGAGTTTCAAGATAAATAACAATAAATAAATTGTTTAACATTTTAGCATATGAAAGAAAATGACGGTATTTGAGTCTCATAATGTCTACTGTCTACATGGTATATGGTCAGTTTCTATATAGATTTCATTGTGTTTTTTTCTCTAGGAGCAAAATCTTGCCATGTATCTACAGAACCTGATGCAGCGAAACTTCAGGTAAGAGGTATTCAAGTATACGCCAAACCTAAGACAGTTCTGAAGAGCCACAAAGTTAAATGTCATGAAATTGACGTCATTGCTCCTTTTGAAATCATGTAAGGAAGAGAAAAGTTTATGTTTATATGAGTGTATCCTGGATGTCTCCATAAGGTTCTTATTGTATACATATATATACAGATTGAAAGTGTTTGGCACATTTCTATTAGATCCCAAACCCTACTTACCGGTAATAACTTCTACTGCATGTTCCTTCATACTCTAAACATCTGACCAATGTATGTTTAGCAAAGGCAGTAACAGATGTGTATGTACATACTCTCCTTACAGTGGTGACAGGGACGGAAGGGGACAGAGGCACACAATGTTTCTGGAGAGCTATCTCTATCAGGATGTTAAGGCAGGATTTGCATCCCAATTCATACCTGCAGAGGTACAGTGCTTAAATAAAGATGTTAAGTACAATGTTACTCTTTCAAAGTGTCCTCCATGGCAGTTGAAGACCACATGTCTTATGATTTGTAATGCTTGAAATTACTAAACTGTTAATACAGAAAAAGATAAATCTCTAAATACGTTTCAATATATATATCATAAATAAGGTCTCTAAATATGTTTCAATACATATATCATAAATAAGTGTCATGAGACTGAACGTTGAATTCACAGCTCTACGGACACATCATAGAGTGGATTAGAAGCACCTTCACACGTCGTATTCACAAAGACAAAAGGTAAGTTATTAGAGTGTATAACATACAGTGAAGTCTCACTATTCTTTTTGAAAGGAATTTGTTTTTCTTGGTGTTGATGTTGATACAAATTCTTGTCAAGGTCTTAATTTCAATACACATGCTACTGTGGTTATGAAATGTCATCTTAAGAAAGGGAAGAGTAACATGTAAACAAAATCAGTTTACCTTCGATTCAGCTTCACTAAAGTTAAATGTGATGCTATGTGTTACAAAGAGGAAAAGGAAACTGCCTAAACCTGTTCATGTTAATGCAATATGTAGAACTGTTCATTTCAGCCATCCCTACACCAGTTCATTGACCAGTGTGCTAACTGTGCGTAATGTGGATGAGAATCTGAGAAAACTGAGTCTGCAGTATATGTGGTAATATAAATTTACAAAAAATCTAATTCCTTTAAGAAATGGAACTACACTAGATCAATGTAACTGTATCTCTGTTACATGTGACATGCAGTAAATCAATTTTGACATGATAAATTTGACCTATAGAGGTACTAAACAGACCTCAGTGTGGTAAAATCAGTAGCATGTAGGAATAGAAGTTATACATGTGCATATCATTTCTACCATTACGCACTTTGGAAGAATCAAATAAAGTGTTCTGAAATGTCATTTTGTACTGTTCTTGTTTTCAACCTACTGCTAAGTATTAGTCACAATTAAATCTGAAAACCAACACATAATACTAGTCTTGCCATATTTCCGTTCTGACCATATACAATTTGTTTCATTTGTAATTTTGGGGGGTTTAGTAACTTTGCTCAAACATGATATGTTAAACATGTCTTTCTGTCTTTTACAGTGCAACAACACACTACATTTTGTATGTAGCTGTAAAAGAGGCATGCCCATTCCTCATCCAGAAATGTCTGGATATGGAGTACCAACATCTGGACAAAGAATGTTCAGAAATGGAATTACATCCGAAGCGTTTGTAACTTGATCCAGTTTTGACTTGTGTTCATTGTGTTAAAGAATAAAATGATATCAAATGTTCACTCTGTAAGTCTTGTATATCAAACTAATATTGACTACTCTGCACTGATGGTTATCATCCTAAGTCTCGTAATAGTGTTTAGGAAAATATGTGTAATATGACCTCCAGAATTGACATTACATGTTTAAAATCTATAGTTAATGGAATCTTAAGATTTTCTTCTTGGCTGCTGATAGTAAATCACATTTCTAGCTAGAGAGCAGAATTTGAATGCTATGGGTATTTCTAGCTTTAAGAGATTTTTGACTATTTTATTACTCATATCCCCTTGACCAGAAGTGGGATAACGCCTTTAAAATCTAAAATTAAGTTAATCTTAAGATTTCTTCTTGGCTGCTGATAGTAAATAGCATATCAAACCTGTGAGCAAAGCCTGAACACTATGATACAATATTTATAATTTTAAGAGAATTTTGACTATATCATTACTCATCTCCCCTCGACCAGAAATGGGATAACGCTTATAAACACGACAAATAATGGAATCTTAAGATTTCTTCTTGGCTGCTGATAGTAAATAGCATTTCAAACCTGTGAGCAAAGCCTGAACACTATGATACAATATTTCTAATTTTAAGAGATTTTTGACTATATCATTACTCATCTCCCCTCGACCAGAAGTGGGATAACGCTTATAAACACGACAAATAATGGAATCTTAAGATTTCTTCTTGGCTGCTGATAGTAAATAGCATTTCAAACCTGTGAGCAAAGCCTGAACACTATGATACAATATTTCTAATTTTAAGAGATTTTTGACTATATCATTACTCATCTCCCCTTGACCAGAAGTGGGATAACGCTTATAAACACGACAAATAATGGAATCTTAAGATTTCTTCTTGGCTGCTGATAGTTAATAGCATTTCAAACCTGTGAGCAAAGCCTGAACACTATGATACAATATTTCTAATTTTAAGAGATTTTTGACTATTTTATTACTCATATCCCCTCAACCAGAAGTGGGAAAACGCCTTTAAAATCTAAAATTAAGATAATCTTAAGATTTCTTCTTGGCTGCTGATAGTAAATAGCATTTCAAACCTGTGAGCAAAGCCTGAATGCTATGATACAATATTTCTAATTTTAAGAGATTTTTGACTATATCATTACTCATCTCCCCTCGACCAGAAATGGGATAACGCTTATAAACACGACAAATAATGGAATCTTAAGATTTCTTCTTGGCTGCTGATAGTAAATAGCATTTCAAACCTGTGAGCAAAGCCTGAACACTATGATACAATATTTCTAATTTTAAGAGATTTTTGACTATTTTATTACTCATATCCCCTCAACCAGAAGTGGGAAAACGCCTTTAAAATCTAAAATTAAGTTAATCTTAAGATTTCTTCTTGGCTGCTGATAGTAAATAGCATTTCAAATCTGTGAGCAAAGCCTGACTACTATGATACAATATTTCTTATTTTAAGAGATTTTTGACTATTTTATTACTCATCTCCCCTCGACCAGAAGTGGGATTACGCTTATAAACACGACAAATAATGGAATCTTAAGATTTCTTCTTGGCTGCTGATAGTAAATAGCATTTCAAACCTGTGAGCAAAGCCTGAACACTATGATACAATATTTCTAATTTTAAGAGATTTTTGACTATTTTATTACTCATATCCCCTCAACCAGAAGTGGGAAAACGCCTTTAAAATCTAAAATTAAGTTAATCTTAAGATTTCTTCTTGGCTGCTGATAGTAAATAGCATTTCAAATCTGTGAGCAAAGCCTGAACACTATGATACAATATTTCTAATTTTAAGAGAATTTTGACTATTTTATTACTCATATCCCCTCAACCAGAAGTGGGATAACGCTTATAAACACGACAAATAACGGAATCTTAAGATTTCTTCTTGGCTGCTGATAGTAAATAGCATTTCAAACCTGTGAGCAAAGCTTGAACGCTATGATACAATATTTCTAATTTTAAGAGATTTTTGACTATATTATTATTCATATCACCTTGACTAGAAATGGGAAAACACCTGTAAAATCTACTCTTAATGGAATGTTAAGATTTCTTCTGGGCTGATGATAGTAAAGAATATTTCAAACTTGTGTGCAGAATCTGAATGCAATGGGTCAATATTTATAATTTTAAGAGATTTTTGACTATATCATTACACATATCCCCTAGACCAGAAATAGGATATTGCCTTTAAAATCTACAATTAAGTTAATCTTAAGATTTCTTCTTAGCTGCTGATAGTAAATAGCATTTCAAACCTGTGAGCAAAGCCTGATCGCTATGATACAATATTTCTAATTTTAAGAGATTATCTACCTTTTTATTACTCATATCCCCTTGACCAGAAGTGGGATACGGCCTTTAAAATCTACAATTAAGTTAATCTTAAGATTTTCTTTTGGCTGCTGATAGTAAATAGCATTTCTAATTTGTGAGCCTAATCTGAATGCTATGGGTCAATATTTATAATTTTAAGAGCTAGTTGACTATATCATTACTCATCTCCCCTCGACCAGTAGCTGCATAAATGTAATGAGTTTTGTTTAATGATCATTGTCATTCACATTTCCAACCTTTGAGAAACATGTACTTTGACAATAAGCTGTGCATATGAAACTACATAGTTTTAAAAAAAGCCTCGTCCCTTCACAACTGTACAGGCTAACTGATCATCATGGATGGACTGACAGCACAATGTATGACATTGTGCTAGGTCTGTACCTGCCTGGATAGAAAACACAGAAAAAAGTAAAACATAAAGGTATAATGACTTACCTTTATGTTCTCGTCTTTCAAAGAAATATTATCTTAGAAACTCCAGCCACTTGGCCTTCAACAGCAAGGACCAGACGACCATTTTGATCAAGTTGTGAAGGGAGGATAACTCTTACTGTTGCTTTGTCTTGCAAATATTAATGTCAATGATGACAGAGCATGAGATAACAAGTTCAATTCTCTATTAGTAATGGGTTCATTAAATATATGTTATTTTGAAGCCTTTGTAAATATTTCAATCATAATAAATGATATTATTTAGATTCCATATGTAACAGAGACCATAAAATATTTATGGTCTCTCCATATATATGAGGACATGTTACTGGCCAAACTGTTATGCAAGCTAAAATGTATATATGTCAATAAGCTACCAGGAATGGTTCAATGAGTTTACCAGTTATTTTAATGCTGATGGAGATTTTGTAATACGGAGTATTACATATGGTACTTTTTCCTTTAAAAAATGAAGAGAAAAAGAATAGGGTGGTGGGTGAATCAAAGGAACATTAAAGAAATCTTTTTCAACAATTTCTACTCTAATAATTCTATATGTAATTAGTTTCTTTTATTTTTTAAGTTAGACGTCTTAGATGAAGCACAAACTCTCTCACATCCCACATCTGCTATGCCTGGAAACAGTTACAGGCACTTCCAACATTAAAATAAATAGTTGCTTTTATCATCATGTACACAATAATCAAATGGAGTGATTTTGAATAATTGTTACCACTAAAATCTAGCATTATAGTTATAATAATATTTATAAAAAATGACTTTGGGACTTGAGAATACAAACAAAAATACACGCATCAGTTGCCAGAGGACTGTGAGGTATTGGGGCCTAGAAATCCCTTGAATAGTACAAATGTAATTGTACCCCTTTTAACTCTGACATGTTGAGTATTCATTGTTTGATGTTTAATGACAGACTTAGTAATATTCAAAATAAATAATATTATTTAATTAATGTACATACCCTCCCACATATGTATTGTGAACATCATCGCCATCTCCAAGACATTTTCCTCATGTATATGAAAAGAAATGTGTCTCTTGAAAAATAGCATAACACAAACATCCTAGGAACTTGAATTATTACACTTTTATCCCCACCAATGAGTGGCATAACATCTTTAAAATACAGAGAAAAAAATTATTTTCATTTGGCTTATACTATTTTGTAGGAAAACACTGTGTTCAGAAGTGGCCAAGATAACTATTTAACAGAAATTTACTGTTCTTAAACATGTCACCACCTCACAAAGGTTATGATATGACAGACAATCAAATAATACATTTGGCAGTGATATCATGGTTAGAAATTAAACATGGAAATGGGCAGTAATTACAGATAATAAGCAACACGACCATTTTTATGGGAATTGCATTTTTTCATTCGCAATCTGCATAAAAATAAGAAATTGTATTCCGCTTTAGTTCCGCATTACCACTTTTATACGCTGCTATATTTAGCTGCAAATGGTGGCTATCGAGTCAGTGGCATTGCCATTGGCGCACATTGCAGAACGGAGTAAAAATACAAAACACAAGAAGTGCAGGTTATTTTGCTCTTATTAAATGTTTGTCAATTAAACACATAGTTGCATGCCAGAGATATAATTCTCTATGGTGTTTATCCCAGTTCTGGTCGCTACACACGTATTCGGTGAGGTGAGGTGAAATGCAGTTTAACGTCGCGTCCAAGATTATTGCACTTACATTGCGACGTGCATGCATGTGTGTGTGTGTGTGTGGCTTTTTGTATTATTCCTGACTGATGCCGATTGATAGTGCTACGATACCATGCCGTGAAGGCCCATTTCTGGTATCACAAGCCGTAACGTTGGTTGAATATTGACAAGTAGAGATTGCTGCAGAGCATGAATAGCTCCCCGCAATATAATGTTATGTGCAGAGGAAGGAAGTGTAAGCTATGGGAGCAGATAATTTGTGTTAAGTACAAATTGGTTGTTATTAATGTACTTATCTTTGGAAAGCACAATAAAAGAAACAGTGTCTATAATTGGTCAGCACAAAGAAAACCCGGGCAAGAAAACTGGGCCTGTCAGGCAAAACTTGATATATGCCCACTATTAGTACCAATAAAAAAAATCCTATATAGAAAACACAACAAATGTCATTCTAAAGCATGCTTTTGCAGCAAATATCAATATTTCTGGTCAAAATGTTGGTTGGGTTAAATAAAGCAAACTTTTAAAATAGTAAACA